GAGAGAGAGAGAGAGAGAGAGAGAGAGAGAGAGAGAGAGAGAGAGAGAGAGAGAGAGAGAGAGAGAGCTGTACAGTGAAAGAGAGGCAGAGAAATAGTTGGGCAAGAGAGAGAGGGCACGAGGGACGTATGAAGAGAGAGTTGGGAGGACAGAGACCAGAGAGAAAGAGGGAGGGATGCTTTCACATCCATCTTAAACTCTATGTAGAGTCCTAACAGACCACAATGGCTCGGCATGCCAGCAAAGAAAGGGAAAAAATTTCAAAAATGCACCGCTGGCGGTTCGGGAAAGCTTGGCGCGCAGTGGAGTGCCTTCCCGCCCAGGTGTACTGGTAGTGGGACTTTTTCGGAGAATTAGCAGGACCCAAATCCCATGGTATGGTATTTCAAGCACTTAGTACTCGCGGAAAAATGTACCATCGGACTCATCCGAATTACAATCGCATAACCGCCTCTCATCATTGACACAACACCACTCTACGAGAGCGCAATGTCCTCGTAATTCAAGGTTTTTTTTCTTTCTTTTTCGTGGTAATTCCAGTTTCGCCTTAATGGTATCCTTGCAGAAACAACAGGAACAAATAAATATTAAATTGCCCCATCCATTTCTTTGCCATGGCACGGTCCAGGTCCTGGACCCATTTTTGCCCCAAGGCGCAGCATAGGTCCTGGACCGTTTTTTTCCCCACAGCACTGGATCGGTCCCGAACCCATTTTCTTCCCACGGCACCACGGCACCGCATAGGTCCTCGACCCAATTTTTTCCCACAGCACCACATAGGGCCCAGTTTTCCCATGGCACCGCATAGGTCCTGGACCCATTTTTTTCCGACGGCACCGAGTAAGGTCTTGGGCCCGCTAGGTGTGGACCATGGTGGTTCATCCAGTTGGGAATGATATGAGGGAGTCCAGACGACCTGGTTGTAACCTACAAGACTATGTTCTCCCTCTCATCAACAGTGTCAGAAACCGCGCCATGCGCTTTCTTGTGCGCTGCCTTCTTCCCCTGAACCCGACGCATATGCGTTGTGTTTGAAAACAAGGGCTATTCGAACAGAACACAAATGTGGTGTATTTGAAAATTAGGGCTATTCGGATAAACTGCATGTGTGTTGTATTCCAATAGAACGCACCCTATGTGTTGTATTCGTTTACAACGCATACACGTTTTGTTCAGGGGGAGACGGAAGCAGAAACTCGAGCAAACATTTTTCGCCATGTCTTCATCCTATTGTGGCAAGAAGCACCCTGGTTCACCTTCCCACCTCGACAGTCTTCACCCGAACAGAGCACCTGGTCATTATTGCTGTATCTTAGGTTGAAAAATGCCGCAAGAAGAGACCTGGTACAAAATTGAAAATTCCAAGAATCCAAACAATTTTCGTCACACGCTCATCAAGTTTAGAATCTTTAGATTCATCGAGTGATGAAGCAGGCAACGGGTTGTGAAGTTGTGGGTCACGAGGAAGAGCAGAGAGTCGAGGCCAATGAGGAGCGACAATGGGTGCCGAGAAGATACCAAGAAAAGCAAACATGAGAGGAGAGAGATTTAGAGGTGGACAGGAAAGAAGACAGCTTACTTCCCAACAAAATGATGGTAACCGTTTCCAGGTCCGTAATGTCTCTGGCCCTCCGTGACATCGAAGACATCCCTGCAAACAAATGGAGTTTCAGGCCCATGTCAGCAAAAACAGCATAACACCAACTGCCCCAGCTGCGACTTTCGGAGGCCCGAAACACGACGTCAGGCACTGATGAAATTTATCAACAGCGCGCCGGCCCCGAACTTTTCGGACCAGGTGGCGAATTCCTTTTCAGCAAGGCTGGGGTCGTGATCTGGAAGTTTAAGAATCCGTTAAACACACTAGTATCCGACTCAGCCTTTTTTTTCCCCTGACCGCCGGCACAGAGACCAGCATGGAGACCAAATACAGGATCCGTCCAGGGTTCGCAGAGGGCTATTTGGGAAACTTTCGAAGGGCGGGCCAGGGTGGGGAGGAGGGCGGGGTTGCAAGTGTTTGGAAACCAAGATCTTTCTTTTGACGTAAAAACTAAAACGTTCATTCATGAAAGCAAAAGAAGACAGAACAAAAAGCAAAAAGGAAAACAAAAGCAAACCAAAAACACGGCCGCCCGTTACCTACTTCTGTCAGAGAACGGCTCATATGCCAGAAGGCCCAGAACTACTTTCTTTTTTAAAGGCTTAATAAAAAAAAATATATATATATATGCCAGAACTTGCTAGCATCACAGACGACAGCTAAAACCAATATCTGTCCGATTCTGTTGTTTTCAGCAGGGGAAAAGAAAAAAGGTTTCGCAATAGTTGCTCAGGACTTGCTCCAGAATGGAGTCCTCCTTTCGTTTTTTTTTTTTTTTTTTTTTTTTTTTTGAGTCCTCCTCCTTACTGTGTTTTCAGCCTGTCACAAAACGACAACTGGTGACATGTTTGGAAACGCGATCCTCACAAACTACAGAAACATCGTAACAGTGCCTGCCTGCCTTTCTTGATTTTTTTTGTTTTTTGATTTGCAAGTACCCACCTTTCCTGACCCACACTAGGGGCAGGGGTGCTGAACAGAAAAGAGTGTAAGCACCAACAGGTCCCCAATTATTTTCTGTGAGAGACGGTGCCATTCAACTTTTTTATTTTTTATTTTTTTTATGACAGCAGAGTTTGCTTCCGGGTTACGGGAGGCAGCCACGGTAGGTTCAGCACATGGGCTGCAAAGGTACCGGTGAGGCAGCCACGGTAGGTTCAGCACATAGGCTGCAAACGTACTGGTGATTTAAACCTCCCGTACATTCGAGCCCGGATCCACGAATCTCAAAGAGTGTAAACCCCCACGGGCCCCCAATTTTTTTCTGCGAAAGAGGGCGCCCTTCAACTTTTTTTTTTTTTTTCTGTGACAGCAGAGAATTTGCTTCCAGGATAAGGAGGCAGACGCGTAGGTTCAGCTAGTAGGCTGCAATGGTACTGGCGGATGCAGCATTCGCGCTGAACCTACACAGCCAGTACCTTTGCAGCCTACTGGTGGTTTCACCATTCACACTGACAGCAGAGAGTTTGCTTCCAGGATCAGGAGGCAGCCGCAGTAGGTTCAGCGGTAGGCTGCCAAGGCGCTGGTGGTTTCAGCTTCAAAGTTGTGAATCTTCAATGAAGCTGATCATAACTCATGAGTTTCCGTTTCTTTATTGCAAACATTGCGAGACCCCTTCAATACTTCAACCAAAAAAAAAACAAAAAAACTACTGCCACCTATTCAACAAGCCACAAACAGTGCTCACAGTAGAAACACTAGACGAGGATTTTTTTTTTTTTTTTTTTTTTTTTTGAGGGCAATGACGGCCTTGAGATATCATCATTGAGCTGACTGGGCCCCGGCAATTCAGCAATATTTGGTTTTACTCATAAAGTACCATCATCTGGATTCGAACTCAGGTCTGTACTTCAACAGTTCATGGGTGTACACACTGTGCTAGGCTCTTGGGTACCGCTGCTACCACCCATCATAAAAACAAGAGAAGCAGCCAGGAAGATATGCAAAAGAGTGAAAAGTTCTATCTCCCCCCC